CCACCCTACGGCAGTCGCTGCATCACTGCTCTCGCATCACCATTTGAATTCTCTGTGTAACCACTACCACCATTTGCTATTTTTCATCTATCTTTTAAAAAAAATTTATCTCTCTACCTTAAGAGTGTAAACTGCTGGGAACAGGGACGCTACGACCTATATGATATATATGTTCATTCTTCTTTGTTCATAAAAATCCTGATTTCACACGGGTATCAACTCCTCCCTTGTGCAGCTATGGGCCTCAGAAGTTGGCCCCTTATCCTCCAACCCCAGCAAATGGTATGACTGACCGATGAAAACCTCATATCCCTTGCCAGTGACAGGTTCAGAAATGAGTATTTGGAACAATTCTGACCAAGAAGATATAAGGCAAGGCTTGCTAGAAACTTCTGAGAAAGTGGTTTCTCATTCCTAAGAGAGTCATGGAGAGCCCAGTCTTCCTTCCCGCGGTCAGGGATTAAGAAACATGTTGCCACATCACATCTGTGAGAGAAACGAGCTTTAGGATGAAGTCAACACTGTCTCTGCAGAGCAGACGGAATGAATGAACCTGAGTCTGTGATGACATAGCTGAACCGTCTGATCAACCAACTATAGGGTCCATACTATCTCTGACTTCCTTCTATGTAAGCTAATCAATTTCCTTGTGAATGCAGCCACTGTAGGTTAGATTTTCTATCGCTCAAAAGTGAAAATACACTAATAGACAGCGACTGTGTTACCTTGCTCATTGCGATATTTCCAGCACCCAGAAAAATGCCTAGAACACGGTGGGCACTTAACAAACGCAGGTTGAACGAATAAGTGAGAGTTTAAAAGAATAACTAATAAAGGAGCAGAACCCATAAACTAGTATTCTCCATTTAGCCCACTAAGCTATACAGTCATTAAATCTTCAAGAACAGGTGTCTACTTAAGTACTACTAATGAGCACAAAAATGCTCTTGATGAAGATTCTAAGATGTCAGCCTAAAATTGAACTATGTCACCATCACTACTAAAGGAAAAGGCCACTATCAAAAAGCATGGATACATTTACAAAAACTTACCAGTTCTTGGGATTCCGTTTCTTCCCAGGCTCCCCAACCATCATCTTCCCAGTTTGCTGATTTACCTATGTTTAAAAAGATAAAAACGCTAATATGAAATATAGAGTTTAAAATATTTTAAAACACTTTCTCTAAACATAATAAAATCAACCCTTGATGCAAAATAAACACTATATAAACACTATATAAATATGATGCTGATGTTAAGGTAGAAAGCAGTGGTGAACTATGTCAGGGTATTGCTATATGTGACAATACAGGAAACATTTGACCTGAAATTCCAAGTCTATGCCATACTAAAACTGTGAAGACANCCTTTTGCCCTAGCAATTCTACTTTTAGGAATTTATCCTATGAGAAAAATAAGAACGGCTAACATTTAGTGAGCACTTACTATGTTCCAGGTACTATTCTAAGCACATCTTACTTAATCCTCTTAACAATCCTATGAGTTGACAGTGTTATTAGTCCCACTGTCAGAATGAGGTGACTTCACTCACAGAAGTAACTTGCCCAAGATTTCACCATCATTAAAGGGCACGGCTGGGATAGAAATTCAGGCAGTCTGACTCTCAGTCATGAACAGTGCATACATATGTGTAACCAAAGATGCACAGTAGGTGTAAAGAGGACCACAGCATTGCTCGTGATCGAAAAAAGACAGCAAAAGCAAAAGAACAAAGAAAAACCAGCTATCCCTCGACAGGGGCGTAGTGAAACAAATCACTATGTATCTATACAATGAGATATTACTTAGTATTCCTTGAAAAAAGTTAGATGATTTATATTTGCAGATATAGAACAACCTCCAAATTACATCAAATGGAAAAAGCAAGAGGCAGAACAGTGTGTAAAAATCAGGTCCATGTGGACTTTCAGGTAAAGAGGGAAATTAAACACATGAATTTTTACACTCTCCCTACCTAATACTCTCAACTCCTCTAGGAACAACAGTAAAAGAATTTGTTTAAAGGTAGAAACCAGTAAGGGCACAAAGAACAAGAGGAGAAAAGCCCCAGTGTTCTGAGAGCTGGAAAGAAGACGGACAGGAAGCACACAACTGATTTCACAGGCCCCAGGAAACCAGCTCCTAACCTTGTGGACAGGAACGCTGAGAAGCAACCCCAGTTGCACTGCAAAACTGCCAACAGGCTTAGGAAGCGGAGCCAGGTCGCTCAGGAAGTGAGGGCAGAGATGTGGCTAAAATCACGAGGCTTGCTTGGAAGTGTGTTTAGGCAGCAGTTAGGTCCCCACATCACCTCTCCCACTCCCCACGTTCAGATCACGGTCCCTCCCTCGCAGATAAGAGACCGGGGCCCATCACCAAGCCAAAGCTAACCAACAGAAGCTCCCGGGCAGGAGTGAACGCCTGAATGCAGGTGTGGACAAGAAGCAACAGCGGGAAACAAAAGGAACAAAAAGGGGTGGTTGGCTCGTGGAGAGATGCTCTTAAACATTTAGGCAGAGATGATGCCAAGACTGAGCCTGGACCACATGTTGGTCAGTGGCCCACGATCCAGGATCAAACTTCCTTCATCCACCTTGTTTGTGGGCACACCATCCTTTCACTTGCAGTCCTCACACTAGCAGACCACTTCCCCAGAATCGACTAAAACCAAGTAATGGTCTTAGAGATCAAAAGTTCCGAACCCCCAAAAGAGGCCCAGAAATTGTAGAGAACAAAGAAGGGGAAAGGCAGCAAGAAAAGATGGGGAGAGTTACATTAAAAGCCACAGGCTAGACCAAGATCTCAGAACTTCTTCTGCACACCTGACATTTTGGGCTGGATAATTCTTTGTTTTGGGGGCTGTCCTGTACACTGTTAGATGCTTTGCAGCATCTCTCTACCCACAAGATGTACCTCCTCTGAAGTTGTGACAACCAAAAATGTCTCCAGATATTGTGAAATGTCCCCTAAAGAGACAAAATTGCCCCCCATTGAGAATCACTAGTATAGGCCCAGCTTGTAATAATGTGAAGAGCAAGGTTACTGGCAAAATGAGTGTTTCCAACAGTTAAAGGTCTAAAGCTCCAATGAGAGCCCGCCTTCGGAAGGAGGCCCGCCTCAGCCACCGTGCCCTGGCACAACACCTGGGCCATATCCCCAGTAAAACATGAGTGCTCTCCTCCGCCTTCGGCCACTCTGGTGCTTATGTCTCTTCTGTGGCAGATGGCACCAGACTCTCATGACAGTAAAATAAGGCAAAATACTTTCCAGTGCTGCCCCAGATTATTAATGCTCTAAGAATCTCTAAGCAGGCCATGCTATATCCTATTTCTCAGCCTGTAAACACACATTTCTCTGGGGCCTCT